TTAATGCAGATGTGGTTTAAAATTATACTGTATGTGTTGCTGCTTTTCTACCAGACTCAGTGAAAGTACCCGTTAAGTCCTCCAGTAGAAGGGGGGTCGTGCAGTCTTTTAACGTTTATGATCTTTCGTGTTGGCCTGTTGAACCTGCGTGGATGCTGCTTTATGCAAAGCAGTTGGGCCCAGCTAGAAGATGTCATTCAGAAACAGTACCATAAATCAACCTGGAGAACCAGTGGGAAGTTTAAAGGATGCTAGTAAACTGGTAAGACTTCTTTCCTAAGGATATTGAGTACTGTTGATGATGAACAGCTGAGATGAAACTCTGTGTGTGTCTCATCTAGACCAATCAGACTGACTGATTGGTTGTTTACTAATGGGTGTGATATTCAGAAAATACCCTCCTCACTCTGAATTTTGCTACACATCAGGAAACATCATGCACACACCCAGACGCTAAATGGTCGTTTAAGGATCAAGCCTAGATTCACTTCTCACGCCCCCTCCTGTGAGCTGATATGACAGCAGCCAAGGCGACAGGTCCTGGGTCTACACTCCTTCCTGTTCCTCCATGGTCCCTCACTCAGTCCCTCAGTGTGTGTGTTACAGAGGGAGAGAGAGGCCGGAATGGAAAGGCTTCCCACATAAAGAGGCCTTTTCATCCCTGGGGCCACAGCCTGCCCGCCAGCCCCTAGAGAAGTTTGTAGTGGATAAATAAACCTCTTCAGACGCACAGAAAAGATGGCGTCTGTGAGCAGTGGGTTAACAGGCAGCACAGTGCCATATCTCAAAGAGAGACTTTATGTTATTCTGAAGGGTTATTTGTTATGATATTGAGCCAAGAGGGTAAGAAGGGCCAGGAGGGCAGGGGCCTCTTGATTTATGGAGTGACTGTCCAGCCCAACACACACACTCACTGTTCCTCGTTTACAATCACAGATACATACATACACACACATACAGTATGTACACATCAAACCCACATTCACCCACACCCACAGAAGGTACATATCACACATTGCTTCCAGCTGGCCGTAGGTTCTGGCTGAGAGTGCTCCCACCTCTTTTAAACACACACATGCAGACTCACACACACACACACACACACATCATGCAGCCAATAGCTCACACATGCTACCCCAGATGAGGAAACATCTAGATGTTGATCTCAAGCTGGAGGCCACCATTCATCTGTTTTTCCAGGATCACGTCGGGTCTGATTAATTTATGAGCACTTTGATATCAAACAGCTTCTTCATCAAGTGATTCACAGAACAAAGAGCATAAATAGATTTCCAAAGACAAATGATGCAAGTCTTTGTATTTAGTGCTTTTAAACCCACAGCACAACGTATGTACAGGAATTACTCTTGGTGACATCAGTGCAGTCAAAGTGGCACACAGTCATTGTGAAATACATTCATGTTTATTATCTGACATGTGGTCCACTGTTAATAAAATGCTGACCACAATAACTTGAAAACCTATAGTGTGTTGTATTGTCCATTATAAAGGATCAGAGCTCCACTGAGTAGATTTCAGTGTGTAATGAGCATTGGTAAGAAATGGTACACCTAAAGTATTGCATCATGAGAGGAACTGAAAACTGTCGTCACTTCAGTTTATTTGTATAGCACCAAATCACAACAAAAACCATCTCAGGGAACTTTACAGAGTAAGGTCTAGGCCTTATTACTTAATTATTATTATTGAGAAAAACCCAACTGATCCCCCTTGAGCAGCACTTGGCGACAGCGGGGAGGGAAAAACTCCCTTTAACGAAAGAACCCTCGGACAGACCCCAAGTCAAAATGCAAGTTAAGATACAGAGTTTCTTTCAGGGCTTCTGGAAAACTTCCTGAGGTTGAAAATTGACCAGTTTCTCCTTTCGGTTCATTAAGCCTTACTGTCAGACGCAGGGAACCATATGAGACAGTTCAATTTTAGCCGGCACTCTGAAATCAACCTGCAGCTTTGATTTAATTTTTATTTTTTTCTACTCTCATGCAGGGGAGGGTCATGTGAGTACCGTTCTGTTTCACATTCCTTCGGTTGCACACGTTTGTGGAGCTACCATGGTCCTCCACAGCTGGACATGCAGCAGCTAGGTTTTTTTTTTTTTTTTTGAGGAATTTTAAATGCTCATTCGCTAACTAGGAATTCCCCTCTTTACATACTTCTCTGTTACACACTTACATGAACCCATTTCAAACAACTGCCTCTTGTCAGTGACCTCACAGTACAGGCTTGAGAGGGACAACAAGCAGCCACAGTCTCTGCTGGAGCAGCCGGTAGATCTGTCCTGAAAGGTTGTGCAGTGGCACAAAGTGGAGCCCTTCGGCCCAAATCCACTTTCATTCACAGCAGCTTCTTTCCACTTTCAAATCTACATTTCAAAGTGCAGGATCTGAAGTGGATATTTTGCCATTGACGGCGATCAAAAAAGGGGGCTTTGCTCTTTTGTGTGACACCTGAGGAACTGAGGTTTTGTGTGTCTGAGGGATATATCATTGTTTTGTTCTATTGGCAAAGTGCATTAGTTTAGCCTCTGCTGGTGTAAACATCCAAGTTCCTTCTATTATTTTCCCTGGGATCAAAGCAGTTGTATTCATTTATAGGATCACACAAATGCATTGACTAAATTTGCTATTAACAAACCCTAATTAAAATAGCTGTAATATCCAATCCATATTTACCTCCAAAGAGGCCACAATTTTCTGTAAGTACAGCAGAAATGTGGAGAATAATATTAACTGATTTGTGCAAAGAAGGCTACTTTTGTGCCAAACATTGCACTTGGCAAATCTTACAGCCATGTGTTAACCTTTTCATCCAGTAGACTTGTTGAGGTTTAAAGGATCAGTTCACCCAAATTACACTTTGAAACCTCTGCACATAAATCTGTCTGCATGGTTAGTTACCATTAGATGTAAGTGAGAAAATATGTCTTTGTAATTTGGGTGAACTAATCCTTTACACAGAAAATATATGTTTAATACAAACGGTTCCAGTAGAGCCATTGTTCATCCAGAGCTGCCGGAGGACGTTGTGTTTGAGTGCCTGGGGTTCATAAAGACAACGTGAGCTATGAGTCTCTGGAGATCATTATATCCACCCCATAAAAGCCCAGTTCCCTGTGTTTAAGACATGAAGATATTCTAAGATTTATGTTCTTCTTTGCTTCCACAGAGGTCATAAGTAACACACTAAGGTAGTGAGCCATTCATGCTGGCCTTGAATTTATGCTCTCCACCATCACATTGGTGTTTTTCTGCTCCTGAATGGGCCTTTACAAGAAGCATTGGAAATATTATTGTCAGCACCAGAGGCCATGTGGAGAGCTGCACAACCACAACAGCACATTATTGACCTAATGCAACATCTCTAGTATTTTTAATGAGTATAATAAGACAGAGGAAGCATTTGATTTAGTCCAGAAACTCTTAAGCATATCTGGAGTAGTCAGCACTGTTAAAAAAAGTACACTGTTCAAAGTAAAATGAACCATCCGCAGACTTTCTGCTATACCTGGGGTTTCATCCACTACTACTGGGCCCACCTGGTCGATATACTCATTTTACTTGATTTATGTAGTGCCTCTGTCACTGTCGTTTTGGAAGACTGACGATGAGCCAAAAGGCAGACATTTCTCAAAGGGACTTCAGTGTTACCTGCTGAGTCTTCCGCATAAACATGTCTTTCCTGGACTCATGTCCGCACCAGCAGCCCGCCTCACACTGAAAAAACCACCTCTAATTTAGGGAACGTCTTGTGAGAATTGTGTTGTCTGCTCCTGATTTCGTTGTGGTCTTTCAACTACAGTTGTCTGATCTCAGTTCAGGGCTGTCTGTTCAAGGACTGGGATCATGTCCACTGCTTGCAAACGCTCCTCTGTAACACCACTGCCCTTTCAGCGGGTCAACACTGCCTGTATTTCCCATCATAAATAACACTCTTTACGCACCTCTTTCAATCTTTCCCATGGTTGGATGGGTGCATACTTGTGTGCTCAAACAAGTGTGTGTTGTGTATTTTGTTGCCCAAGCAACTCACAACTTGAAAGACTCACAGCAGCTGCACTCTTGCATATGTGAAAGTAGACGTGCATTTATAGTGTTCTTGTGTTTATGTTCATCATGTCATTGGTTTGACTGGTTGCCGGAGCAAGCAGGGTGTGCATGAGGTTGTCTTTTTTCATCTCACCCTGATGGTGATGATGTGTCACGATAACATCTGATAGAAGAGTGAGAGGAGACACAAGGAGACCCACTCTTTATCCCGACATGTCCCTCCATCTCTCTTCCATCCTCAGTGGAGGCCGGCATCCATAGTGAAGCCTGTAAACATGTTGATTTTTCCCTGACTCTAACCAAGCTGGCAGCCAGCTCCTGGAGTAAATGAGCTGGTATTTGACAGGGGAGTTTGAAGTGAAGGGGGAGGGGTTCATTTCCACACAGCCCTTATCTGTCATCTTCTTCATGCTGAAATAAAAAGTTGTATTTGGCTTCCAGAGGCAGATTAGCTGATAGGCTGGTGGCTTACTCTGCATCACCGCCTCTTAGTTTAAGAACGAGGACAGGCCTTTTATTGCGCTGACAACTCTCTCTGTAACTGAGCGTGCTTGTTAATTATATAGTGGGAAAAGGGTGTTTATGTAAAATCATAAACTCTTATTATTCCTGTCAGGAGAAATGTTCTGATGTTAGCGAACTGCTACTAACAGTTCATTTCATGGTCACTTAGTCTGTTTAATTATTTTTTCAATTAACTGATTAATCAATGTATTTGAATTTCTTGCATTAATCAGTCAATTTACAATGAAGTAAAACAGAAAAGTGAGGCAAATCCTTACATACAAGACCAGTGAATATTTACCACTTTCACTTGACAGGTGACTATTCAAATCTAGCAAGTACCCAAATAAAATCATGTGTGAAGTGTCTTGAAATATGTTTAAACAGAACACCTTTCTGATGACCTAATATGCTTCTCCTTGTGTGCAGACTCTGTGTCCAGTGAGACAGCCTTCCTGGAGAACTATGCTCTGGGTGTGGGGGACACCCTGGAAATGTCATGTGAGGTGGAAGACTCCTCAGCGGCAGTCGTCTGGTTCAAAGATGGCGCCAGACTGGTGCCTAGCAATCGAACACAGCTGGTCCAGAGGATGTTGCGCATCATCAACGTGTCATACGAGGACACGGCCGTCTACTCATGCCGGCTTGCACACAGCAACACCCTGCTCAGCAACTACACCATCAGGGTGACTGGTGAGAATGTGGGGGGGTATTCATATATTTATATAAACGTTAGCTAAAAAAACAGATATGACCATGAAATATGAAAAAGCCAGCTCGACCGGCCACTGCTTAGCCTGAGCAAATACAATGCAGATGCTGTGTCAAGCCACATACCTGCTCTTTGCCTGGGTGAGGACTGGGATGCTTTGTGTTAAGGACAGGTTAGGTTTGGAAAATGGTGTTGCTTACAGTGAGGCTCTGAAGATTTATGACGGCCTGGCCTGACTTCCCCTCTCTGGGGCCAAATAACGGGTAAACATCATTTAACTCGGATATTGAGCTTCCATATGAATGCTCTCCCATTCTTTGGCACATTTAATTGTGTATTATTGACTGCCAAGCTGCACACGTACACACACATAGCATCACACGGCACAGACTTTCATCGGCTAACCCCCTTCCAAGTTTCACAGATTCTTCCTCCTGATGCGCAATCAGAGGTGAAATTCATTATCGTATGACAGGATGAATAACATATTAAATACAGTAAGTGTGTGATGCAAATAGAACTGCAAAGCTGAGCCTGTTATTGACAACTAATTAGAAAGCAATTAGTTCCAAACATTTCAACATTGAAAACAGATGGGGTGGCAAGAAATGAGAGAGTTCAGTCCCTCTCAACTCACCCCCCTGTCTCCTCACACACACGTACACACACAGATGCATGTGTTTGGCTGCAAGCCGGAGGGAAAATGTCCAGGACTGAACAGAGGTGGACAGCTTCTCCTCATAGACTCGCGTATGTATCAGCTCCCGACTGCAGGAGAACGTGTACAAACACACTCCTCACATCACTGAATCTAATGTAAAAAATCATCTTTCCAAATAATGATCTGCTTTAAAAATCAAACCTTTTCTTTTTAAACAAGTATAAAACTTGAGATGTGACAACTGCATTTGCTCGCCGCATGTTTCAGGGGTAAATACCGCAGAGCAAGCACATTCATTCATTCATTGTCAGACTCGGCACATGTTTAAATTACTTGTGAAGTCAGAGATTTTATCATATGCGGTGTCAGTATCCTGTTCTCCTCCCTTTTCTCTAAACACAAAGCCTACACTTCATCTAAAATACACATGGACTATTGTGCTTTTCCTCAAATATTTGAGTAAGGTGTCAGATATTTAGGAGCGGTATCAGATGTAACACCTGGACCGTGTCCAGACAGGAGAGGGCGGCCAGCTCATATTTTACACATGGTACACATGCTGGAAACAAGGGGCTGTGAAGAGTGAGTGAATGAAAGGAGTTACCTACAAACTGAAGCATATGAAAATAAAGAATGTTTCTATTCCGTAACTTTGGCAGTCCTTGGATGTGTTTTGAAGAATTGGCTGTGTACAAAAAAAAACATTTGCTGTGTACCTGGGCGTAGATCGGTTTTATCTAAAGCAAAGTATGTGCAAAGATAATCGTTGAGATTTATAGGGACCAACTGTGAGAACACACCTTTTGGCATGAACTCCTTTCCATTAATCAGCTGGCAACTGGACGTGTTGGCTTCATGTCTGAATCAGCACCCTGGTCACTTTACGTATTTACAGCAAATCTGAAATACATGCAGGTGCATTAACAGATAGGCACCATTAATGTATCATTAGAACAGGACAGCAGATTACAAAATGGCGCCCATTCTTCCCACTAAAACTTGCCTGCCTGGCACATATGCCACAAATATCTTTCTTCTGTGTTTTCCCCACTGCCCCCGTTTGCACACTCCCTCTTGGCCCATAGACTTTTCAAAGGGATGACATCACAGAAATAAAAATCACGTTTGTAGGCTCTTGTAATATGTAATGCAAAGAGTGATAAATGACCTAGTTTGCGGTGTGAGGTGTCCTGTTTTGCAGACATCTATTTTATCAGTGTAGTCTATGGAACTTGCACTTGATGTGCTGTCCAGTTTTGTACATACCTTAGCTCACTCCATCATGGCCGTAGGTGTGTCTGAATGAAGCCCCGAGGAACAGTAACATAGAAGTGAGCTACTGTATATCTGAATGGCATAAAGAATGATGAAGGCAGCAGTGTTACAAATCCCATATCTGAAAAGGGCTTTAGTCTTGTCTGAAGTGCCCTTTACTTACAAATGAAAGTACTCATTCACAGTATTCTGCTGTGATATTTTATTTTGACAGCCACAATAGTTTTTTAGGAAGTTGGTGTCATGTTTACAGTGATGAAGCTCATCCACTCTAATGTGAGTCTAGCTTCTTTCTGCTGTGGAGTGAGATGCCAAACAACAGAAACAAAAAACCTGCTAGTCAGGAGTTTCAGGAGCAGTTTTTGCTAACTGGGGTTGTCAAGGTAACAGCTGGCTTTCATTAACCAGACCTGTGGCGCTGAACCCGAAAACTTCAAGGTCAGATGGAAAATAATTATGTGGCCAACATGAAAATGTGTGATACAGCGAATCTAAGCAGACGAATCTATGGCTGGAGCTTAATTAGCCAGCAGGAGTTAGTGTCAGTGTGTGTTGCAGAGAGAGAGTTGTTTCTTCATGTGTGTCTGTGTGTATTTGCACAAGCGTGCGCACTCACTAATGACCCTCTCATTTGTACCATCTGTGGAATTGTTTGGTTGAAAGAGCCACCACACTAGAGAGAACTGTAGACTCATTCATGAGTTTCCCAGTGAGCAGAGCCCGTTTTAATATGCATTCATGCATATGTGTGCAAGTGTGCTCTTGTCTAATCATACCCGTTTGTGAACACATGCCATTTACTCGTCTCTGGGCATTTAACATCCAAGAAAATTCCTGCAAATTTGTTTTTGTTTTCCTGTCTTTATTTTTCCATTTGTCTCACACAAAATAAATTAAGTGCTACAAACCTTTTGTGATGACATGCACATAATTAGTTTGTAGTGTAAAGAAGAAACATTTTATTAAAATAGATGAGTTGTCAGATGAATACATATTCATTAAGATATGTTCAGTTAATCAAAAAATTAATTCAACCCTATTTGTATTTCATTTTAAGATTCTCTGTCGTCTGGTGATGATGAAGACTATGATGAAGATCCAGAAGATGCAGGTAAGAGACATAATGAATTCTTAATTATTCTTTTTTAACCACATACTGTGGCTCCCTAAACTCCAGCTTTAACTTGGAATAAAAGTGTGCTTGACTACTTTGTTATTCATAAATATGTCAGTCAAATACAAAAAAGACAATCGTTCACCATTTCTGAAAAGAGAACAAAGTAACCTCCAGTTGTGCAGCAGCAGTATTCTCATCATTGAAAACACACAGAGGGACACAGACGGATAGTGATGAGCATTTTCTTCCAAGCAAAACATGATTCCAAAACCAAGTCTTTATATCTTCCAGTTCCTTTTGGGATGCTGCTGTTTCCAGCCCTAAATTATTACCAAGACTCATTACATGACTAATAAGTGACAAATGCAAAGTGAAATGGTCTCTTCCCTATATTTATGTCATCAATCTGAGTTTTAGAGTTTGGGCTCATTTCACTCTTCACTGTGATAAAAAAAAATTTTGCTTGTGGGAGGAATTCCTAAGATAGTCAATTTAATGGACATTTGTGCGACTGTCATTGGATTTGTGCAGCTGATTAGACTCAGATTAGGCTTTTATGTCCGCTCGCTGTCGTCCTTAAAGCTTCTCCCCAGGACGCTAAACTAAACACCACTGCTGCACAGATGAAAAGCCAGCGGTTCTCCCACAGGTAACACCCCTCCCAGCACTCTGCTGTGATGTAAGCTGCTTTGGCATTCAGAGATGTGCGGAGTTCAAGTGCAGGTGAACAAAGAACGATGAGGGATGGCTTCCGCTGGCTGCGGACACTTTACATGCTCTGTTCTGTCAGCAAGCATGACTCTGGAGAGACGGAAAGCGTCTCCGCCCCTCGGCCGGCTCTCGTCCAGCCAGACACCACACTGTGTTGTCTTTGTTGTAGCGCACAGAGAGACACAGCGGAACTTGAGGTGCAGACAGCCAGAGGAAGACATGAAGAATGTAAGAAATCAGATGGAAATGCAGTGAGAATGGGAGTTATGATTGGATAGAAGTGAGGTGAGGAAGACAAGAGAAAGCCCGACTGACAAGCTGAGAAACCTACAGGAGGCATGAGAGATATATAGTAGCACTGTAGATTCAAGTTGATATGTTTGCAAAATATTTCCACTGAATTGTTGTGACTGTTTGCATACTTTGATGGTTCACAGTAGTTCAGAGAAGGATTTGATCAGATGAGTCTACATCTTGCTGAACTGAAAAACAGGCAGTAATGTAAAACAGTCTATCATAACTCAAACTGAATTTCAGTTCACTTTAACTGCTCCACATCAGTTAGTGCCAGAAGTGAAATCTGGACCTGTTTCAGTGACGGAGCAACAGGCAGACGCCCAACAAAAATCAAAGCCCCTTTGGAAACAGCTCTACAAAGCTCTATCCAAATAAAGTGACATCACCCTCGACTCAAAACAAAATACTGAGACAGATACTGTGACTGATGCCGGCTGCTGTGAGCGTGCTTCTGTGGTCATCGTTAGTCTTTCACCCCATCTAACATCATCCATTACAATCATTGCACTGCATGAGAAATATAACTGAAAAGAGAGACTAACCGGCAAAAAAGTTATTTACATAATTAAAATGATGTGTAACAAATGGCTTCCACTGCGGTAAAAAAACAAATCCCACAGAAAGAGAAATGCAACAGCCCAAAAGTTGGCAGCAAAACATATGAAAAAATACTTCAACGCATGCAGTCATACGTACAAGTCCCTGTTACAAGACAAGTCGACCTCACAATGTTTTGAATTTCTCTTATGTTCTCGTTTTACCACTCTGAAATCTCAAAAACAATAGTTAGGTTCTGTTGTTGCACCCAGCAGCTCAAGCGCTTAATCACTTCATTAAACATTTGGTGATGTCACTATCAACATTTAATCCCTTCGATCTGCTCACTTCAGATGTCAGGCTTAAAACGTAATCTTGACTCATATTCATATTTGCCTTTTTCTTTACGGCATTCCGCTGCTCTTATCCAGAGAGATTATAGGAGAGAGCAGCAGAACAAGCTGCAGAAATCTGTCTCTTTTTACTGTAAGTCACTGTGGATAAGTGATGGAAAGTCTTTGTGTTTCACTGCTCAGCCTCGCTTCTCGGTGAAAACTTGGAGTGTTTTCTAAACAGGCCGAAGTGGTAGCAGCTTACTGCAGACATCCTGAATGCCAGTAAATAGCCCAGACTGCCAGAGTTAATCTCTGGAGGTAAGTCTACCTCATGACATACGAGGCTCCGATTTCATGGCCAAAAGCAGAGGGATTAAGTCAGAAATGCTAAACCTCTATTGCTGCTTAATGTCCGCTAAGCCACCGGTAATTAGCCGGCTGTAGCGGGAAGGAGACGTGTGACGAGCCACACAGCCAGATGGAGAGTCCCTGTCGGTGAGCGGAAGAACATCCACGTCTGCATGCAGAGAGGATGATAATAGAGATGTGGAGATGGTGAAAGAGTCAAGCCATTAATGAGGGAGAGGGAGTCGAAAACATTTGTGACTGACAGCCAAACAGGGTGAGAGAAGAGGAGAGATGGCACAAAAAAGAGAAGCCTGGAGGAGCTAATTCAGTCAGAGCTGTCGCTGTAGCTGCCAGTAGAAATGATGAGGCTGGCCACAGCCGATTGTTCTCAGAGGACAGACAGACAGGATGCTGCAGTCACGAGTTCATTCACAGCCATCCTCCAGAACTCACCCAGCTGTCTCCAAAGGCCTTCTAGGAAAAGGCAGAGAAGATACTGTAGATGCCTGCTCAGCAGCCACAGTGATTCCTGTGGAGACCACACAAACAATACTACTGAACAATTTATGAGACTGACATCAAATTTGTTTTAAATTTTTAGTGGAGGGAAAAAGACATCAGCTGCATGTGTTGCCTCTCTTGTGTGTATTTACACTTAAATCTCGAGTATCTAACAGGTAAAGATTTAGCTGTAATACTGTTAATTACTGATCCTACCATAAGGTCAGCATTTGCCCTTTCTACTATGAGAGGCAGCACAAAGAAAACCACATGGGTTTCAGAAACTGCACAAAAGTCAGTTTAAGTCTTGTCATGTCATGACAAGTGAAAATAATCACTGATAATGGCGTCATCATACAAGTGAAATCTCCCATGGAATCTGCTCTAGGAAACAAAGGAAGCCACAGAGAGGCCATATTAGGATAAATCAGAACGCACACCAAGCATGCAAAAAACTGTAAATAATAATAATAATAGACTAAATAGATCCTTAGATGGGCACTGTCACCATTCTGGATGGTTACCAACAAATAATACATATCTCAGACTTTAGACTTTAGAAGTGTTAAACTCAAATATGAATGAATGAATATTCATAAATCAAGGCAGCAGCAGCATCTTAAAATATTTTGACATAAATGCAGGGGAAATGTGAAATGCTTTTGAAATGTTATAATTAATGGCTGAATAGAGGAGTAAATGAACAAAAGCATCTTTTATGAGCGATGCAGTGAAACCAGAACCGATCAACTGTGTTGGTATTATCATGTGAGCTTGACAGAAGGGCAAAGAAAAAGTCAGAGATCGAACCATCATTCACCCTCACAACACAAATATGAGTTATTGAGGTGTGGGAGGCGGTGTACACACTCAGAGCCTGTGTAAAGTGAAAGGGCAGTGTGTGTCAGGAGAAGGAATGTTAACAGAGCCTAATCTGTGCTGCGCTGTGCTCCTGAGCTATGCACCCTCCCTGTTTACCCTGGCAGGAGAGCAGAGAGCCGGACGCCTGTCCACGCCATGCTGCTCCACGGCCGCCGTTCCTCTGACTCTGTTTGCCTTGAGTCCCTGCAGGACCTCAAAGAGATCAGTGTAATCGCTAATGAAATCTGCTCTGTGCTCGCAGGCGTCAGCGAGGGCAAATTATACAATTACACAATTAGACCCCCCCCCAGATCGGTGTCTGAGTGCTGAAGGACCTTGTGCCACCACAGCGATTGGCGTGGCAGCGTGTCCCGCTCCAGCTAATTGCTGCTGCTGCTCTGACGTTGTGCTGATAGAGAACCACAGTCACCGTCTTCTGACCTGCAGCACAGAGCCAGAAGTCAGAGGAAAAGTGAGCAGGGGGCGTGTGTGGGCATGTTTTGGTGTGTAAAACACTTGTAATGGCAATGCTTGGTTCAAGAAAATGTACTTTATTTAACAAAACAGAGTGCACCCCCCGCAGAGGCTGCACAGTCCTCGAAACCTGTTATTTACTGAAAGTAATTAGAAAATTTTAATCAAATGCAAATTCATTTTTCTTGTTTGCACATTCTTTTCTTTTCTTGTTCTCAGTCTTATGTTGTTTACTTGTTTACTCGTTGCCTTACAGAAGAGCATTGTACATACACACCAAGAGCCGCTGTACCAGAATCAAATTCCTTGTGTGTTCAACACACCTGGCCAGTAAAGATGATTCTGTTTCTGAATCTGCATCGAAATACACAGTGACAGTCATGCAACGCGTGTGCCAGACTTCTGTCTTTCGCATGAACGCAGTAGAAAAATGCCTTAGCTTTCAAGAAAAGAAATTATTGAAAAAAGTTCTGGATCCACACAGAAACTAATCTCTGATTCATTACCCACAGCTCAACCAGTTTCAGTAGATATAATTTTGAGATTCTCTGCCTCCTGCAAAACAAACTAAAGGATTTCAGACGTTGTCTCCTTGTCAGTGGTAATAGAAACGTCTGAATGCAGATACTACAAACAGCTAAGTAGCAGCAGGTGTTGTGGTTATATAAATCCTGACATATACATCCTACTGTTGTATGTGTTGTCAAATCATTCCTGTCAGAAGTACTCAGAAGATATCAGGGAGTTTGCTTAGTGCTTCAGAATATGCTACTGATTACACTGTTGCTGGGTTAAGTGGCAGCTATAATAATATACCTTTTCACTCTAAACATACACAGTATATATGTGTGTGTGTGTGTGTGTGTTTCGTAGCAGCTTCTGTGCTTGTGAATGACACACAGCTCCTCCTGTTGATGGTGCTCAGTGATCAAACATAAAGCAAACAAAGAGAAGGACAAACATACAGTGGTGTATTTCTAGGGTCCCTGAGAAACCTCCCTCCTCCTTTACCCTCTGCAGTGGACAGGTGGACATAACACCGTAGACCCCCTGCAGTTTGCCTAGCAGGCAAACAGGTGAGTGGATGATGCAGTGAACATGGCACTGCATTACATCCTGTACCACCTCAACTCCCCAGGGACCTATGCAGGGACCTCTATGTAGACTTTAGCTTGCCATCATCCTGGACATGCTTCATCCTAAACTGACCCAGCTCACTGTGCCTGCCCCCACCTGTCAGTGGATTACCAGCTTTCTGACAGACAGGAAGCAGCAGGTGAGGCTGTGGAAAACCACATCCAGCACCCGGACAATAAGCACAGGCGCCCCCCCAGCGTTGTGTGCTCTCCCCACCATTGTTCTCCCTCTACACCAATGACTGCACCTCAGGGGACCCCTCTTTTCTCAGATGACACAGTGGTCATCGGTCTCATCCTACAGGCAGGAGGTTGAACAGCTGGTCCTGTGGTGTGGTCGCAACAACCTGGAGCTGATCACGCTCAAAACAGTGGAGATGACAGTGGACTTCAAGAAGAGCCCCCTCACCATACTTGGCAGCACTGTATCAGCAGTAAAGTCCTACAAGTTCCTGGGCTCCACTATCTCCCAGGATCTGAAGTGGACGTCCAACATTAGGACCATCACCAAGAAGGCACAGCAGAGGATGTACTTCCTGCGCCAGCTCAGGAAGTTCAACGTGCCCCAGGAGCTGCTGATACAGTTCTACAGAGGAATCATTGAGTCTGTTCTCTGCACCTCCATCACTGTCTGGTTTGGCTCAGCAACCAAACAGGACAAGTACAGACTTCAGAGGACAGTCAGGACTGTAGAAAAGGTCATTGGTGTGAGCCTGTCCTCCATGGAGGACCTGTACACCTCACGGGTCAAAGGGAGGGCGGAGAGGATCACTGCAGACCCCTCACACCTGGGACTGTTCTTAACCCATGACTGTAGAACAGGACAGCAACCCTCAGTGCTGTACCTAACTATCTGAAAAACTGCTTCTAAATAGTTTGTACAGATATCTATATTTATAAGTCCTTTATCTTTATTTTCCTAATGCACATCCTTTTCTCTTGTTTGCACGTTGTTTTTCTTTCCTTTTTTTTGTTCTCTCAGCCTTATATTGTTCACCTGTCTATTCACTGCTTTGTGGAAGAACACTGTACACACACCGAGAGCCGCTGTACCAGAGTCAAATTCTTTGTGTGTGCAACACACCTGGCCAGTAAAGCTGATTCTGGTAACTGCAGAGCTGAGAGAGGATGTTATGCAACCTAGTTTCCACTACAGCGACTGGAGAAGCATCTGCTCACCTCATCCCTGTGGAGGTTTAAGGGTATCTGCTTTTGTTCCCCCCTCCTCTTGGAAAATCCCACTCCGCTCTGCTGAGGAAATACCATCCAGCCAATTAGACACAGGGTAGGATTCCTCTGTGTGTTGCTGTGTGTACGGCGCAGGACTCCACAGTAAATATATAAAACATGTTAAAATCAAAATGCCAGCTGTTGTTGATAAACTGGAAAAGGCTGCAATTGGATTTTTTCCTTAAGGTGGGAAATGCCTGTACCAGCTTCCTAAAGTGCACTGTTAAGAATCCGCAGAGCCAACATATCACAGTGTCACGTTTTTTAGGCATCAGATAGAAAAGTGACCAAAATACAGTGGATCTAAAATGACTTGTCTGCTCAGTACTTTTTCCATTCAAGAAACAGTTATCTAATTTCATGTTGAGTAAACATACAGCATGTTGTGTCAGGAAATCCAAAAAGAAGACATCACCGCTCTGCCCAGTGTGATTACTGTTTTTGCACAAGATCATCTGTCAAACAAACCAATCTCGGTGTGTTTTGGGGACAACACCA